CAAAATGCCACTTACACCTAGTTCACATTCAGTTTCCCATAGTCATAATTTTGTACCGAAATTCTGTACTGGAAATAGAACAAATTTTACGGAGATGCGCAAAGCGTAAAGCGTAAAGTTTGAAGCATAAAGTATTGAGGTAAATTTTCTTTGTTGCTGAACTTTCGCTGATGCTCACAAGAATGAAATTGAATACAAATGAAAACTACAGTTACACACATTAGAATTAAAAATAGGCTAATAGGATTTCCTTCAGAGCACACGTAAAAAAGAAACCTTCAATTGCGTGTGCATATAAAATATTATTTATTTTGTCGTTTCCTTCCAAAGCCGACATCTAATTCTTTGTGTTCTCAACAGTTCGTCATAAAACCTAAAAACTGCATCCAATGATGTAGTTCATCACAGTGTTGAGATATAGATTGTCAATAAAAGACAGACTGGTGATACATGCCATCGTGTCTTATAGCAAATTACCGGAAATTAAATTATTAAAAAAAAACTTGGCAAAACTTTGAAAAAGATTGAATCTTTGGGAAATTTTGAAATTTTTGAAAAAAAATTGATTTTTTTATATTTGGATTTTTTTTAAATTTTTAAATTTTCAAAGCAATCGCACTGTTTTAGCTGCATAGTAGAGATGATACATCGAAGCGCGTAAGCGCCGCGTCGGCGTCTAGCAATGTTACGCAACCTATAGTAATGTTAACAAAATTGATACACATAATTAAAATCTTCATAAAATATCCTGATAATTTGATGTGCATATGTCTAATGCTCATTTTTGACCGCCAAATGCTATTTTTTACTTTTTTTTACTAGATTTTTGAAACCGCTAGACCTGCCTTCCCAAAAATTTAATCAGTTGTTCATCTTGTCAATACAAGTAAAATGTTTTTTTGAATTATTTAAATCAGACGCTCCGTTCTCTTAAAAACTGAATTACCATTTTTGGCTTTATTGCCCCGTATCTTCGGAACGGCTAAACCTGCCTTTGCCAAAAACTAATCAGCACGTCTCCTTATGAGTAGGAATCAAATGTTTTTTGAATTTTTCAAATCGGTTGATTCGTGTTCGCGAAATTGTCGACGAAAATTTGTATCCGCACACAGACACACACATACATCATTTTTTTCTAAGGTATGCCAATATGTTCAGAAACCTTTGAAACGTAAAGATATATAAAAATTTTCATTTTCGATTTTTTGCGATTACTATAACTTACCCTAAGGGAAGTTAAAAAAAATTAGGTATAGGTAACTCTCCCATAACACGGTACTTCTATAACACGGATTTGCTCTAACACGGTTTAAGAATTGAGACCATACCTCATTTAAATAAATATTTTGTTTATTTTAACGGAGTCTAGACGTAATTTTAGTTGAACAACAGTTTTTATTTACTTTTCGAATATCAGTTCGGGTATCAGAGATATTAATTGGTTTTCCTGCTGATTAGATTTCGGTAAAGATTTGTGGGCCGTTTTTTCTTAATTAAATGTTTTGAAGAAACTTTAATAAAAGTTTCTTTATAATTAATTGTTCAAAACTCTTTTAACGATTTTGTCAAAACTTCGTATGATAGGGTTATATAGAGTTTAAACTTATATTAGAGTCTATAGAGTCTAAACTTATATAATAAAATATTATAGGCTTACGACAAGTGTTTGAATTATAAGACTAAAATTTGGAATAATATGTAACATGTATGTTACGTTATGTGTTCTACTGATCATCGTTGACGTCCACACTTAAATAAAATTAGAATTTAATGTGTTAAATGAATTAAATTAAATTAATACAATTGTAGATATTATAAGTTTGCTTGGAATATAAACATTTGGAAATAACATTGATTAGTTTTCAGTGAAAATCAAGTAAAATCAATTGTTACTGAAATAAACAGTTTAAATTGATAAGCGGATAATTTTCATGTGTCGGGAAGTTCATGCAATTTGCCTTGAGCCAAAATGCTATAAGTTTAAATATCACTTTTTTTATAGATAGATGTCTTCTATCTACGTTTCGGTCCACAGCATTCCCAAAGTGCATTTTCGCGTTTCACTATTATCGGCGTCACAATTGCCTGTTACAAGTCAATTATAAATTCTTTCTCTGAATAATTCCTTCATGTTTGTTTTTATTATTATTGCATTCGTCGGGGAACGAAATTAAAGTAAATAAAAGTGATGCACGAGCAAACTCTCCATGATGCAAAATGCGCATAAGTCACTTGTAACTGAACGCTCGGCCGATCAAGCGTAACATGCGAGTTGTAAGTTAAAACACGAAAGTTGAAGAATTTTCTGATGTTTTCGTGTTTTTTTATAATTTACTTCTTGTACTCGTTAGATGGACTTTGGAATTAGGCGATCACTAAATTTCGAAAAATTCTAAAGTCAATTTGCCTGTCTCCAAATCTCTGAAAATGGGCAGAAGTAGTCCTTTTAGGATAACTGAAAAAATATAATAAAAAAGTGCTAAAATTAATTAATTGAATTATTAAATTTTTTACATCATTTGGTCCTGATAGTACAGTAGAAGTCCATTAGTCCTGTCAGGCAAAGTTTCAGAAAATTTAAGACAAATGTTATGGCAAGGCCATGTTTCGTTCCAACTTGCATAAATTATGCTACAGAACCATACTGAACACTGTCAAAATGTCATGTATTTGCTGTGCATTCAGACGTTTTACACATAAACTGCAACGCCACTCGTATGTTATGAAGCTGGGTCAGAAAGTCCCTGTTATCTAATATCGTTTTTTTGACATTTGTGCGGTTTCTAGGTTAGGTTTTCTATCTGACAACCTGAGAATTACGCCTGACTGCATAGCAACCGCATGACTTTTGTCAATATTTAGAACGAATTTGTAAGGAAAGTTCTTTATAACCATAACATTGCTTTGTTGTGCGGCAGAATCGGTCTTGAATTCAAATATTGATGTAGCTGGATATAACATTTTCAAACCAATTCTCTGCAGTTAATTACAAAAACCAGTTTGAGAAATTTCTGGCTGATAACAATTTAACTCTACACTAGCTGTGGGTGTAGAAAAATCAGCCAAAGTTTTTGAAAAAAAAAAAGAAAGACAATTTAACTGTTTTGCCATGTGCTAATGACTGCCATCACGTTTTAAATGCTGCTTTTCACTGTTTCGTACTGCAGAACAAAATTTGCAGTTTAATTATTAGCCTAATTGTTTTTATAATTGCAGCCAGATAGTCAAGAAGTTTTGATAGACTCCTACTATATACGAACAAAAACATGATTTTTTTTTCTTTTTATATTGGTTAACTTTTCCATTACAAAATTCTTGTCACATGGTGCTCTACAAGTGAACACAGTCAAGAACCAAATCGGAGCCATTCTTGGAAATCGATGTTTAAGAGCAGTAATCTATCATTTAAATATTTAACTTATTTTAGCGAGGTGGAAGTAGCATTGGTTACTTCCATAATATACCTGACTATTGAAGTCATTATATTTAAAATAATGCCTCAGATAGTTTTTGTTACATCTGTGGTGCATATATTTTTGACAAATACTCAAACTCTATATCGAACTTAGTCGAATAGAATTGCACAATCAAGAAAAAACATGTGAACACGATTGACCAAAAGGAAAAAGAAATGCTATAATTTTAAAGGTCCATCATTTTAAAAAAACTTAAAATCTCCACGATGATGGTTTCTTCTGTGTGGTAAATATCATAGGAATGAATTCTGGCAATTGAAGCAAATTATTATACCCCACGATCCTAATGGTCTACTTATGATCAGCAAAGATATAACATAGAAAATCATTTTCTGTTTCGACGAGTTGAAAGTGATGAGAGTCACAAAAGGAGATGATCCCTTGAGGATCACGGTAGGGAATCTAGAATTGGATGACGTGGATCATTTAAAATACCTAGGAAGCATCCTGACCAGAGACGGATACTGCACGAGAGAGATCAGGACAAGGATCGCAATCGCCAAGGTGGTGTTCACGAAGAAGAGAACGCTATTAACGAGCAAACTGAGTCTCGACTGCGGAAGAGACTAATAAAGTGCTACGTCTGGAGCATAGCTCTGTATGGATCAGGGACATGGACTCTAACTACTTGGTGGCTCTCATACCATGGACTTGCCTTCGTGCAGACTACCATTTATTATTATTATTATCATCTTCTGCCGATCATGTGATGGATAGAGAGCCAAATGTTGACGAGAGAAGTCAGAGAAAGTTAAAAATTGATGTATTCAATGACCCCCAAATCAGCAACTCATAAAAATTTCACGGTTCGTTAATTTTATGAATAAAATCGAGAAGGAAACCAGAGTGTCATTCGTTTTGGTCGTAACAAAATTTCAGGGAAACAGAAAATCAGTAACAATATTGAGCTTGTTGAAAACATGTTATCCAATTTAAAAGATCCAGGATGCAATATGAGCAATATACAAAATTCCTAACTCGCACTCTTATTTAGAACAGTTTTTGGAAAATCTTGGAGATTTTAGCGAAGAGCATCAGGAGACAATCAGGACTATGAAGGAGCGACATCAAAGAAGGTGGGATGTCCACATGATAGCTAAGAGTTGTTGGAGCTTACGACGAGATTAGTCAGTCCACGTTCGAAAATCATATAAAAAGCTTTTTGCGGGCATAAAATAAAATGTGTGTTATTCTTTTATTGTAATTTGAAGTAAAATTAGCATATTAGCGTAACTCAAAAATTAGAGCTGTTAGCAAAGTTCTGTTATTTTTGGGATTCAGCATCTTTGAATTGTTTAATAACTATCATAACATGTAGAAAAAAAATCTGTCATGCAGTGTAATCGTTAAGGATAAAGTATCACGTTTTTGTCTAATTCTGTTTTAATGTTATAATTTCCAAAAATATAACATGCTTTGTCGAATAACGTCGTGTTCCTATATTTCACATTTGCAGGTGTTTCTTTTGATTTTTTTCACAATGTTTATCAATTATACCTAATTTTGTTTTTTTTATTTTTTCAGAGAGATTCGTCTATGTCATCAAATGCTGTAAGAAACACGCGGCCTGAGCGGGTCCCAAGAACGTAAGTTATTTAAATTGATTGCAAAAATGTAGGGTTTTATCAAAAACATAATTTTCAAACACATTTTTTCAACATTTGTATGCGCCTGAAGCAAAGCAACGAATTTATTTATTCACCTCTAGTTGTAGACATCCAGTCTTACACTGGTGAACTTCGTATTAGCTTTCTTACTGTTAGAACCCATAATGTTTCAACCGATACTTTTACTACAAATTTGTTTAAACTGAAAGTAAAAAATATATTTAAAAGTAAATTTTTTTAGCATTTCAATAATTAATCGGATCTGTATATAGCATATTTACTCCAAATTTTCACAACCTTATCTAATATGATTTTCAATTAGTTTGTGAACTCATACAATCATTCAGTCGATACAAATAATTATAGATAAATTAGTGTTTTTTCATTCATAAGCAACCTATAATCAATAATAATAAATAATAAATATTATTTCATTATTTTTATATTGACCTCAAGTGGTTTTATATCGACACAATATGAAACTTATGGGGCAATTCTGCCTCATAACATAGCGTTGTCATGGCAATGATATCTTATGCTTGTTTCTTGGTAGTGAAAACTGTGAAAATGGCGATCAGGCGTATTTTCCGTATAGACTAGCAATAGGAATCTTATAACAGAATTTTTGATGATGCAGTTATCATGAGATTCTTTCTAAGATATACATTTTCACAGTTTTTACTACCAATAATATTATGAGGCAGAATTGCCCCATTAAGTACAATTAATAACAAAATATAGAAAACAGAATTGTATGAACTTTTATTCTTTTCTTGAACTCTCTATATCGACAACATATTGAAACATTATTTGTATTTAAATACAGATTTCAACTCTGCTACAGGTTATATTAATGAACTTCTGAAACCGTTATTTTTTAATACATATAAAAAAATATTAGTATGATTCAAGATTTAGATTCATATATATTTTATTACATTATGTAGGCTTTGATACAATATACATATGAATACATATTTCTCTATACTAGGGTATTATATATTTTCAACATTTGTTTCTATTGCGATAAATAAAAATAATTTAAATAACAAGATGTACATGTATTAAAAAAAACATTAGCATGAAATATAATAAAATTTCCATTTATAAAAACGATTCAAACCACCATTATGATTATTTATAAAAATAATTGCATCTAGTTTGTTGAATATAAAATCAATAAGTTTTCAAAAAATTTATTTAACATATATAATAAGTACGTTCCAATGGCTAAAAATGTTCAATGTTAGATAAATTTTCAATTCAGTTTTTTGTTATTAATAGAGACAAGATCATATACAGAGGTCTAATCACTGGATTTGCATTCGATTTAGACTTTTGTTACTACCAAAAGTATCACAAAAAACCTGCTGAGGTTGGAAATATAAAAGATGGAAAAGCATATTAATAGCGGTTGCAATGAGCAGATTTTATTTATATTGTACATTTGTCATACAATTTGATGTCCGTTCTCTATCGATGGTGGACGTACTTCAGGCGCATATAGTGTTGTGTTTTTAGCAATACTATTAACAGTTCATGATATTTTGAAAAAATATTATAATAAATAATCAAAATTATTTTGACATCCTTTATTTTCAATTGAATAATTAAATCATTACGAATAATAAATCTTGAAGACTCGTCGCATTTTGTATAAAACCATATATTAATACATCAAGTCAATTTTAGTTACCTTTTTTTTTTAACAATAATCAGTACATAAGAGTTCTACGAACTGTTGCGATGATAACTGATAACTTTTTAGAATGCAATTCAACGGTTGGCCTAAAGTTAATCGATATATTTTATTATTAGAATATCTCTAATGTTGATGATTTTTAATTTGCACTACCAGAGTTACCATTTTTAATTCGACATTCCTTTAATTCCAGCGAACCAGAATCATCCCGCTTAACACCAACTGTTCGTAAAAAAACAACCGCCACCCGATCAGCGCGAAATCAACCACCGAACGAACAAATATCACTGGTTCCAAAACATCTACGATGCCATTACAACAACAACAACAATAACAATACCGTAAAACCCAAATACGACCCATATGGGACTGATGTCTACAATTTCCAAGGCAACGAGCGTCAAATTCAAACCAGAAATTCTGCAAGGCCTGCAACGTCTACCAAGAGGACGGAACTGAAGAGAGCAGAAGCTGATGTTCCGAGAAGATTTAATGAACGAATTAATACTGATCGACTGGTTAGCTCGAATCGAATCAGATCGAAGTCGGTTGTTGCACCAGTGACGCCCCATTTGTCGATCAGGCGAAGAGAAGTTGGCAGCTTGCTGGCTGGACAGAAACAATGCTCGTATAGGTGAGTGGAAAAAAATCTAATTTTTATAATTATCACATAATTTTTGCTGTTTGCAATATGATATGATATAAATATGAAATGCGAAAATTTTTGGAAAGGAAATAAAATTGGTTTGGAAGGAAATAAAAATACAGGACTATTGTCCTTGTAAATTTACTAACTAAACATGGCAATAGCATGATTGTGCTAAGGTAAAACAACCTAAACATTAATTTCCGTTTTAACTATATGATAAAATCATTAATTAATAATTAATACAACATTATCTATTTTTATAAACATATACCTATAGCATAACGTGCAATAAATAACTATAACAGTAAATTAAATAAATTTAATTGGGTTGTTCGAAAAGCAATTCGTTTTTTACCAATGTTGAACCATAAACAACGATCAAAATTTAAAAACAATAAGCAGAAAACAATATTCTATAAAACAAAAATGCGATCGCCAAAAAGAAACAAATTTTCAGTAACCAGTAACTTGAAAAGTATTTGCTTTTTTAAAAACATTATGAAACATTTTTCTCTTATAATTAGTTCTCCTATCGATATGCGACGTTATTTAAAAAAAAAATAACATTACTCCATTTAAAAGAGCTGTCATCTCCCCCCCCCCCTCCCCGGGAAGTGGCAAAGGAGTCTAAATTATTTTCACTTTTGAACTTGAGAGCAAAATGAACCTAATTTCAAAATTTCATACAAATTGGAGCACAGTAAATTGACTCGAGTATATATTCCGTATCCAATGCCAAAAACATATGAATTTTTTACACAATTAAGTCGAGTTTAATAAAATATTTATCTAATGATACCAGATCATGAACATTTTAATTTGATACAATTACCGAATTGTTATCTTAGTTGTTGTCTTGACAAGAGTCTGAAATAATATCTATTATTATTGATTACGGCTTGCTTATGAATAAATAAATAAATAAATAAATAAATAAATCAATGGTTTTCCTGGAAGATGGTGCATTGTCGGCATCTAAATTTTAAAAGCTATCGTATGTCAACATAATAATAATAAATGGTAGTCTGCCCAAAGGCAGGCCCATGATATGAGAGCACTACAACTTATTGATTCTCATTTCGTTTCTTGTGTATTATACCCATTACTGGTATTTATTACCATTATTCACTTTTATGCATTTTTTTTCGAACTTCTGCATCCATGCTTCCTGGTTTTGAGCTTCGACTTTCAGTTCCCTTAAAATAAATGTATGTGTGTTTGTAAGTATGTATGTGCGGATACAATTTTTCGTCGACGATTTCGAGAACACGGACCAACCGATTTGAATGATTCAAAAAGCATCCGATTCCTACTGGGAGGGTAGTATCGTCACGTTTTGAAGGTTTCTGGACATTTTGGCATGCCTTAGAAAAATATAATATACACACACATTATGTATGGATACAATTTTTTGTCCACGTTTTAGGACGCATGAATCAACCGATTTAAATGGTTAAAAAAAACACTCGATTTCTATTAATAGGGAGATGTGCTGATTAGTACTTGGTAAAAGTCGGTGCAGCCGTTTTGAAGTTATGGAGCAAAGAGTGCAATAAATAGAAATCAAGTTTTTGAGAGAACGGAGTATCCAATTTGAATTATCTAAAAAACATTCAATTTGCAATGATTCGGAGAAGAGATGATTAGCTTTTGGCAAAGGCAGGTCCAGCCATTTCGAAGATACAGAGCTAATTGTGCAAAAAATGGCAGAACTAAGCGTAAAGAATGAGAGAACTAAGCGTCTGATTTGAATGATTTAAGGAACTTTCTGCTTGCTTTAAGAAAATAATTGCTTTTGGAAAAAACATTGTTTAATTTTTTTTTCCAAATTTATTTGTTTATCGAAAATAATTCAGATCTTAATTTTAATTCTGACTAAAGTTCTAATATACTTTAAACAAATAATTTCAACTTCGCAATTCATTTTATATAATTCTTATAAATATTAGAGAATGTTACAATATTTAAAATAATCTATTTGAAAACATTTAATATTCCTCGAACATTTTGTTACGGTACGGGAAGTTCTAGCAATTTGCCTCAAGGCACGATGCCATACACCACTAGTTTCATCTTAATTAACTTTCCGAAGGAGTCCGATTCGCTAATTTTATGTTTTCTCGACGTTTCAAGCCAATCTAAATCGAATGAGACCAAATTTGGAAAAAGTATGTGTGTGTGTGTATGTGTGTGTGCATGTGTTTGCGTGTGCGTGTGCATGTGCATGAATAGATTTTTTTAATGCTCTCTTTCAAGATTAAAGTTTTAAAGCTTAATTTTAAATCTTGGTATGAACGTGACTGATGTATCATAACTTCATAAATTCACCGATACTATAAAAATCAAGTTTTCCAAAATTTTAATTAAATTACAATTCAAATCATTAATTACTTTATTTATACAGATATTAGATTTATTCTTAATTGCCTCAATTCCGTTCCGACTTTCTCTTTATGGAAGAATCGGTCTCTGAGTACTTTTACATGCATGCATATATCTTTTGAAGGCAAGCGCGGGTCCCTAGTCCCTACCCACGGTGGCACGCCAAGAATTTCTCAGGAATTTCAATAAGGGTCTCACAAAATTTCAATAGAATAGAATTTCACTTGAAACTTTAGTCGAAATATGTAATATGACTCATTTGTAGAGCATTCTGTAGACGAAGGCCCGAGAATTTGGTTAGGTCGTGATTTTTTATCAAGAAAATAGTAGAATTTTAAATCTGCGTGTAACTCTCTATTATTACATTAACTAATCTGCATGATATGGTTGATTCGAACCAATTCCAACCAACAGCTAATTAGTTAATTTTTGTAAATGCTCTAGTATTTTTCATAAGAACAAGTGCATGAACTACCTGATATCCGAGTATATCTACATATATGTGTCTGACACTAAGAAGTTTTAAATGATCCGTGTCAGATGATAAATTAATTAACTTAACTAATTAATTAACTAGTGGTGCATGGCATCGTGCATTAAGGCAAACACTTTAAGGCTAGACTTTCCTGTATCCAAAATAAGTATCCAATTTTTTAAAAAAGATTAAATTTGTTCATCATTTCTCCATTTCGTCAATACAAATGACAGGTTTTTTGAATCATACAAATTGGATGCTCCGTTCTCTCAAAAATCAATTACTATTATTGGCACTTTTTGCGCCGTATTTTTGGAACGGCTGGACTTGCCTTTGCCAAAAACTAATCAGTACGTCTCCCCATCAATACGAATGTTATTTTTTGAATCATTCAAATCGGTTGATCCGTGCGCCCAAAATCGTGGACAAAACATTGTATCCACACATATACACACATATTCATTTTTTTTAAATAAGGTATGCCAAAATGTTCAGAAATGTCTGAAATGTAAAAACGTGCAAATTTTCATTTTTGATTTTTGGGCAATTTCTATAACTAACGGGAAGTCAATAATTTCACTCTGTCTGTTTTATAACAAATAAAATTATTGAATTTGGAATATAATTTTATACACTACATAATTGAATAACATTTGAACGGATAATAACAATGATACATTTATTTACTCAAAGCTTTTCATTTCCGAATCGCTAATTCAATAAAAAAAACAATGCAGAAATGTAAGTAAAATTTAAAATGTTCATTATTCTTACCGAACAATTTATATTTGATTTGGCTAGACGGTAATATTTTGAAAAACAAATACCACAATATTTTCTTCCGATACGAAAACACCAATTGTAAGTCTTTTGCTAGACTAAACATTAACAAGGTGGTAGCGTTTATAAATATTTGATTTGTGTTATTGCATCTATAGTAAAGAATTGTGACAATATAAATTTATGTGATATAAAGTGATATAAAAATGGAATAAATAATAATAAATATTATATGTTAGTTTTTGCGTATAGCAATTAGCGTTTTTCGTAATAGCAATTAAGTTTTTGAGAGACTATCTGATTAGATTGATACAAAAAACTCACTTTTCAAAACATTTTCAAAAAATTTCACTTGTATTGACAGAATGAAAAATTAAATGACTTTTTAGGATGGCAGATCCGAAAAAAATGTTAAAAATAATTGTATTTGGACATTAAAAATATAAATGAACATTATACATATGCACATAAAATTATCAGATACTTTATAGAGATGTTATTAAATCACAATATTTGTTTTTATTTGATGTTCACTTTACTTTAAATAAATGTCTCTGGAATTTTCGACAGTATAAATTTCAAAACTTTAAAAAAAAATCGTATTTTTCAAAAAGTCTATTTTTTTTCAAAAATTTTCATTTCTATAAAAAAAAATTTCAGGGTTAAAAAATAATAAAAGCATTTAAAATTTTAAAATTACGATACCGGTGTATTGTAAGTTTCAGCAATTTGCAACAATTTGACACAATGCCATGCACCACTAGTTATTTTACTTTATTAGTTGTGTTTTATAAATCGTAGTTATTATTTATATTATATCTGAAGAGAATTGCTGATTTGCATATATGTTGCAATACGTGAAAAAAATCCTGTCTAAATATAATATTTATGTCAAGGAACTCTACATTTCTGATACGCAGGACACTTCTTGTGTATTTATATATGATTTTAATTTCTTCAAGTATAAGTTCTTCAGATTATTTAAAGATTATATTAATTAATGTAGCAAACGTTTCGAGTTTCTATTCGACTCATCTTCAAATCTTCAAAACAAATAACAAGAAATAGTTTGAGTCAAGATTTTTTAACATCTTGTGGGGTAAGTTATAGTAATCGCAAAAAAATCGAAAATGTAAATTTTTATAAATGTTTATGTTTCAAGCCTTCTGAACATTTTGTCATACCTTAGAAAAAATGAATGTATGTGTATAACAAAATATAAAAAAAATCAATTTTTTCCAAAAATTTTAAAATTACTCAAAAATCTAATTTTTTCAAAGTTTTGCAAAGTTTTTTTTTAGTTTTCGGTACGGGAACTTCCTGCAATTTATGCCATGCACCACTAGTT